GCCTGGCTGAATCATGCCAGGATGAATCATGCGCGGCTGAAATGTGCCTGGTTGAATCATGCCAAGCTGAATTGCTGAATAATGCCAGGCGGAATCATGCCCATGCTGAATCATGCCTGGCTGAATCATGCCAGGCTGAATCGTGCCGGCTGAATCATACCAGGCTGAAACATGGCGGGCTGAATCAAGCGAGGCTGAAATGTGCCTGGCTGAATCATACCAGGCTGAAAAATGCCGGGCTGAATCGCGCGAGGCTGAAATGTGCCTGGCTGAATCATGCCTGGCTGAATCATGCCTGGCTGAATCATGCCTGGAGAATGATACCAGGCTGAACCATGCCTGGCTGAATCATGCCTGGCTGGATCATGCTTGGAGGAATCATGCCAGGCCGAATCATGCCTAGCTGAATCATACCTTGCTGAATCATGCCTGGCTGAATCATGCCAGGCTGAATCATGCCTGGCTGAATCATGCCAGGCTGAATCATGCCAGGCTGAATCATGCCAGGCTGAATAATGCCCTGGCTGAATCATGCCAGGCTGAAACATGCCGGGCTGACTCATGCCTGGCTGAATCATGCCAGGATGAATCATGCGCGGCTGAAATGTGCCTGATTGAATCATGCCAGGCTGAATCACTGAATAATGCATGGCGGAATCATGCCAGGCTGAATCGCTGAATAATGCATGGCGGAATCATGCCAGGCTGAATCATGCCAGGCTGAATCATGCCTGGCTGAATCATGCCTTGCTGAATCATGCCTGGCTGAATCGTGCCAGGTTGAATCATGAATGGATGAATCATGCCTGGCTTAATCATGCCTGGCTGAATCATGCCAGGCTGAATCATGCCTGGCTGAATCATTCCTGGCTGAATCGTACCAGGCTGAATCATGAATGGATGAATCATTCTTGGCTGAATCATGCCTGGCTGAATCAAGCCTGGCTGAATCATGCCAGGCTGAATCATGCCTGGCTGAATGATACCTGGCTGGATCATGCCTGGCTGAATCATGCCTGGCTGAATCATGCCAGGCTGAATTACGAATGGATGAATCATGCCAGGCTGAATCATGCCTGGCTGAAGCATGCCTGGCTGAATAATGCCAGGCTGAATCATGCCTGGCTGAATAATGCCTGGCTGAATCGTGCCAGGCTTAATCTTGACTGGCTGAATCACGCCTGCCTGAATCACGTGTGATTGAATCATGCCTGGCGGAATCATGCCCGGCTGAATCATGCCTGGCTGAATCATGCCTGGCTGAACCATGCCTGGCTGAATCATGCCTGGCTTAATCATGCCAGGCTGAATAATGCCAGGCTGAATTATGCCTGGCTGAAGCATGCCTGGCTGAATCATGCCAGGCTGAATCTTGGCTGGCTGAATCACGCCTGCCTAAATCACGCCTGACTGAAAAATGCCTGGCTGAATCATGCCTGGCTGAATCACGCCTGGCTGAATCATGCCTGGCTGAATCATGCCTGGCTGAATCATGCCTGGCTGAATCATGCTTGGCTGAATCATCCCTGGCTTAATCATGACAGGCTGAATAATGCCAGGCTGAATCATGCCTGGCTGAATCATGCCGGGCTGAATCTTGACTGGCTGAATCACGCCTGCGTGAATCACGCCTGACTGAAAAATGCCTGGCTGAATCATGCCTGGCTGAATCATGCCTGGCTGAATCATGCCTGGCTGAATCACGCCTGGCTGAATCATGCCTGGCTGAATCATGCCTGGCTGAATCACGCCTGGCTGAATCATGCCTGGCTGAATCATGCCTGGCTGAATGATGCCTGGCTGAATCATGCTTGGCGGAATCATGCCAGGCTGAATCATGCCTGTCTGAATCATGCCTGGCTGAATCATGCCTAGCTGAATCATGCCTGGCTGAATCATGCCTGGCTGAATTATGTTTTGCTGAATCATGCCTGGCTGAATCATGCCTGGCTGAATCATCCCTGGCTGAACCATGCCTGGATGATTCATGCGTGGCTGAATCGTGCCTGGCTGAGTCATGCCTGGCTGAGTCATGCCTGGGTGAATCATGCCTGGCTGAATCATGCCTGGCTGGATCAGGCCTGGCTGAATCATGCCTGGCTGAATCATGCCTGGCTGAATCATGCCTGGCTGAATCATGCTTGGCTCAATCATGCCAGGCTGAATCATGCCTGGCGGAATCATGCCTGGCTGAATCATGCCTGTTTAAATCATGCCTGGCTAAATCATGCCTGGCTGAATCATGCCTGTCTGAATCATGCCTGGCTGAATCACGCCCTGCTGAATCATGTCTGGGTGAACCATGCCTGGATGAATCATGCCTGGCTGAACCATGCCTGGCTGAATCATGCCTGGCTGAATCATGGCAGGCTGAAAAATGCCACGCTGAATTATGCCTGGCTGAATCATGCCTGGCTGTATCATGCCTGGCTGAATCATGCTTTGCTGAATCATGCCTGGCTGAAACATGCCTGGCTGAATCATGCCTGGCTGAATCATGCGTGGCTGAATCGTGCCTGGCTGAATCATGCCTGGCTGAGTCATGCCTGGGTGAATCATGCCTGGCTGAATCATGCCTGGCTGAACCATGCCTGGATAAATCATGCGTGGCTGAATCGTGCCTGGCTGAATCATGCCTGGCTGAATCATGCCTGGCTGAATCATGCCTGGCTGAATCATGCCCTGCTGAATCATGCCTGGCTGAATCATGCCCGGATGAATCATTGTCAGCATGATAATTTTCACGCTGCTTTTCTGACAGCATGAATTGGCCTGGAGAATGTCGAGGCGTGATATAATGCATGCTGAATGTCCCCCAGCATGACAAATTGCAGGACGAACAACTCAAGGCATGATATATTACGTCCTCAATGTCTCATTCTTTCATCGTGAGCGTCTCGAAGCATGAGGTATTGTAGAATGAACACGTCTTACGGCATGAGAATTGGCATTTTTTAAATGCCATAGCAGGATTAGTTGCATACTGAGTGTCTCGTGGCTTGAGTATTTGTGTGCTGAAGGTTTCAGAGCGTAATGATTTACTTGCTGATTGCTGTGATGCATGAGGCATTTCATGCTGGAGATCTCAATTCATGATCTCATGACATGATAAAAGAACTGAACTCTGTTTGCTCTCATAGTGTGCGTGGTGAATGTCTCAAGGCCTGATGAACCATATAATGGTTTCTTTTCATGACTTGATGATTCTCGTGCTGAGTGTGCCAGTGTCATGATGATGTGCATGCTGATTACCATACAGATAGGATGATGATTTGTAAGGTAAGCGTGTCATGACATGATGATTAGCACTCTGGATGTTTCTGCGCATGATGATATCTCATGGCATGATAATTTGCATCCATGATCAAAGTGGCATGATGGAATCAAGACTGGAAATCTCTTGGAGTGTCATAGCATAATCACTTGCATGATGAAAGTCTCATGGCTTTGTGACTTGGTGCTGAATATTTCAAACAGTGATGAGTTGCACACTGAATCTCTTCCAGCATCATAAGTAGCAGGTCTAATGGCTAGACGCATGTTGTATTGCATTATGATGGCTCATGACATGATGAAAGCATTCTGGATGTATGATAGCATGATGAGTTGCGTGCTGAATGTGATTTGCGATGGCATGACATCTTGCATGGTGGATGTCACAGAGAATTATAACTCTATGGCATGATTGGTAGCATGCTGATTCTTTCCAAACATGACAACATGCCAGCAGAATGCATCATAGCATTGTGATTTGCATGGTGAATGTGCAACGGCATGATAACTTGGAGGGTGTATGTCACATAAATGATAATAGTATGCTGCATGTCTCATGCCATGATAATTAGCATGCTGAATATGTGAGGAGGGTAAAACAGGAATGGGGAATTCGGAAGGAGTGTGGTGACTTCTCAGAATGCATACCGTTCTGCATATATCAATATCATTCTCTCTGGCTGCATCTCTCACATTCATCTCTGACAACACATAGGTACCTCAGAAAGAGTATCTCTGCTGATGCATTCAGGTATCTCAAATTCCAGATGTCACAATGAGAGTGGTTGAACGTTGGTGCTAGGTAAGCGGGATCAGAGAGGACACTAAAAATTCCTCAACAGTCTCATCCATTCATTCATCACCTCCACTGCTACCGTACCACCTTCACTCCATCTGCACTTGTCCAGCCATCCAAGCCAATCCTATGTCAGAATTAACATGTGTGAGTGAATCAGGCCCTCAGATTCGTTTTGGGGCTGTCTGATTCGTCAGACTTAGTACACATTTTTAGTCTGATTAATCAGACTTGGTACAAAAAAAAACTCTGAAATTTCAGAGTTCAAGAGTATAAAAGTCTGATTACACGGAGTTCACATCAGTAGGGAAGCTGATGGATCAGCCTACAACGAGGTGGTGATTGCGCCGCGCGACACTGCTGTCACTGTTTCAGCTTGACTGACAGGACTGAACTGTACTTGCAGCGCTCATCGCGGCTGTTAGGGCAGATCTCGCACAGGAATACCAGAGTAGGTACCCGCTAAACCGCTCATGGATCAGAGTACACTCTGAGAAACAGGCTGAAAAATCAGACAAGGCCTACATTTTTTTTCTGAATATTCAGAGTTCACAGCAAAAAAAACTCTGAACTTTCAGAGTTCACAAAAAAGGCTGAAATATCAGACTTTTTTAGCCAAATCAGAGAAATTTCTCTGACTTCTGGGGGCTTGGAGTGAATGAATGTGTCTGAATGCATATATCACAATGAATTTCTCAGGGTGAATGCATTTGTCAACTCACATCTCTGCATCCCTTTCTGTAAAAGATGGTACAGCACAAGAGAAAAAATTGTCAGAGAGCACACCCATTTTTTCAAAACTGCCTAGTCCACGCATTTCCATCATCCACCCTGGCACCAGCTACACTGGTGCAGGCCCGGCTTTAGATCAACCAGCGGCGAGACATTGCAAGAAGACTATGAGGGAGTCTCCAGTCAACCAGCCTTGCTGTCAGGGCGCTTGAACGCCCCGCACCAGATTCGCATGATGGTAGGGGATGGAAGTATCACGCAGTGTCAGGTGGTGCAGCTGGGAGACAAACTCCGGAAGGTGCTGCAAGGCGGTGCAGCGAATCAGCTCCAATTTGCGCAGCCGAGACAAGCGGCTCAAGTCTTGAGGTAGCGCCACCAGCTGAGGCGCTTCAATAGCAAGTGACGTCAGCGACCGCAGCTCCAGTAAAACTCCAGGCAGCTCCTCCGGTAACCATGAAAGAAGCTCCAGCTGCCGCAGCTGCGGCAATGCTGCTGCCATGTTTTCCGGGAGGCTGAGTATTCCCGGCGCCTCTATCAGCAAGCTGCGCAGGCGAGGGAGACAGGTGAGGGGGACTTGAAGCTCCCGATTGTCGCCTTCCAAGCGCATCTCCAGCTGCTCCAGCTGCTGCAGCTGCGTCGCCTGCTCGAGTTGCTCCGGCGGCTGCAGCAGCTCCAGCTGCTCACTAAACAAGCTGCGCAGGCGAGAAAGAGAAGATAGCGGAAGTGGAATCTCTGGCCCTCCGCCTTGCTGTTCCAGCTGCTCCACCTGCTGCTTCATCTGCTGCAGGCACGTCAGCATCCTGCTCATTGCAGGGCTGCATTGCACCCCAACGCACTTCAGCTTCAGCACCCTCAGCTGCGACAGCTGTAAGATGTCCACCACATGGGACGAGCCTTCCCAGGCGGGCCCCAAGCAGAGGGTCTCAAGAGAGGGGGGCAAACGAGTGGGGAGTTGAATCAGCTGCCGGCACTCTCTCAACCCCAGCCACTTGAGTCTTACGAGATTATCCAATCCCACGGGTACTGCTAGGAGTGTCTGGCAGTGTCTAACCTCCAAGGTCTGTAGTGCAGTGAGCTTTGTGAGTGATCTAGGAAGTGTGGTGACTAGAACATCAATGATCTTCAACTCTCGTAGGCTGCTCAGGTCGCCCAGGGCGTCTGGAAGCTCGGCCTCAAAGCCACATGCATTCAGCTCAAGGCTTGTCAAAGAAGACAGGTCAGCGAATGAAGTTGGAAGCGGCTGTGGCTGGCAATCGCACAATCTGAGATCCTCCAGTCTTGCAAGAGCCCCAACGTCCTCTGGCAAGGCAAGACCCCCGGCACTTGCAAAGCAGAGCACCCTGAGAGCTGTGAGGCGGCAGAAACCTTCTGGCAGGCCCCCAAAGGAGTAGCAATCAAGCAAGAACAGTGCCTCTAGAGATGTCAGATGGCAGAAAGGAGGAAGTTCTGAGACTGACAAATGTTCTAGCACCAGCAGTTTGAGGGCAGGAAGGCGACCGAGGTTGGTGGGTAAGGTGAACCTGTGAGAACTAGAGATGATGAGGGTTTCCAATTGGCTCAGACAAGTGAGGCTTTCAGGCAGGTGGGAGAGCGACTGACACTTGCGAATGGACAGCTTGCGAAGGCACGGCAGCAACACATCAATGCCGTCAGGAAGGCTTTCCAGCCCGCTGCAGTCGGTGAGGAGCAGCTCCTCTAGCCCGGTGAGGGGCGATGCTGATGGGAAGATGGCATCCCAGCGAGGACAGGCAACGAGGAAATTGAGCGATTTTAGGCAAGGGGGCAGCGTGACGCTGGCAAGACGGGCCGATTCATGGGGTCCTTGACGGGCGAAGGTGAAGAGATCGGTGTAATGTGGGATGTACAGACGATTCATGGAGACGGTGGCACAGAGGTTGGTCAGAGCAGTGAGGCTTATGAGCCTGGGATTCTTCAAGTCAGAAACGCTGTTCACAACAAGCGTGCGCAGACGTCTCAGTTGAAAGATGGAATCTGGTAACTGTGTCGGTCGGTGAAGGCAGAAGAGGGAAAGCTGCTCCAAGTTAGGGAGCTTTCGGATAAACCAATCCAAGCCATCCGTGGTTACTGGATGCTCGTAGCTGTCAATTTCGGGGTCCGCATCTCGAGGGTTCCATGGCCGCGCAAAGCTCTTCCCCACGTGGAGAGTCGTCAGCTCGGGCATGACGCCGCGAGGTGAGCGAGGAAGGCATCGTCAAGGGATTCGACGCTGTTGTCGCTGAGGTGCAGATGGGTGAGGTTGGGGAAGCGCGCGACGGCGGCTGAGAGATCTTCGAGAGACACCAGGAGTTCCTCTTTCACAAAAAGCGTGGTAACATGAAGCTTCGCCAGGCGACGCCAACGACGACAGACGGACGCGATGAGGAAAATCCAAGCCACGTTGGCAACCGGAGCCGGGGTTGATACCGGCGGGACTATCGGAAATGTGCTGCGCTTAACTTGCTCAATAACGGGACCTGGCCAAACGTAGGTGACCCACGAGGTGTCCAAGTGGGATTCGCATGGAGCTGGTTGCTCAAAGGAATGCGTAAAGATCTTAACGAGGAGCTCGTCAGGTAGACTATGGATCGTCCGATGCATTCCGAAAATCTGCGATAGGTACGTCTAAAAATGTGCTAACGAATCTAATGTTAAGAGGCGGCGTCACGAACGGAAGTAACGGTTGCGAGCATCAAAACGGTGCGCGAGAGCGAGGAAAGCGGAACACCATACTGTACTGGCGCAGCGCGGAAGGACTCTAGCGTCGCACGACATGTTGCTCCCACCGTGGCGTACGATCGAACTCCACGCACCTCCTCCGCCCGAATACAATGGTGGAATGGGGATACTACTGTGAGACTGGTGAGTGGGAGGGCATCGAAGGGCATGAAAGTACCAAGATGGGGGGCGTGTTTGAAAACCAGCGCAAGCAAACCAGCAACGGCCTTGGGGTCACAGGAAAGCCAAGCTGGGACAGTAAGCCTAGCCCGATTCCAAGCGATACCGATGAAGCTTCCACCCTCCTCGCCAAGGCTTCGCTGATATTACTTTTTTTGGTAACCAGTGAATTGTCGTGCGTTTCGTGTTTCTGTGACGAACTCTATTTTCTGTAACCCAGTGGGAGAATGTCGTCGTTGCCGCCGCATCTGGTCGCACAAAACATTTTGAACGAGAGAAGTTCAAATCGAGGGCACTTGGTATTTTACGAAACTAGATCAGGTACCGGGATCTGATAGTTCCATTATTCTCGACATTGGCACACCAGTTGTTCCACTTGTAAAACAGAGTAGCTGTGACTAATGGAGGGCTGGAAACTTGGCTGGAAAGTCTTAGCACGGCTGTTGGAATTGACTGGATGAGGTAAAACTTCACTATGTTCAAGATTAACAAGCCCACTAAAGCACAACTCTATAGGCATCACAAACAAGACAGATTGAAAGCTCAAACTAGGCTGATAGACAATGTAACTTCCCTGGTAACTTGGGCACAATCTAGATTGGATGGACCTTGAGTGACTTTGAGTGCCACATGAGGTGCATGAATAAGAAAACTCTGGATATTTCTGTTATAGCCGATTCTGATGTGTAGAAACTTGTAGAAACTGCCAACACTTCGGTTTGAAGGCAGCTTTGAACTGTATCGAGTCTTCGGCTGAAATCTGATTGGTGGTGGAACTTTCGAAGTACTTCCCGAAGCCTCTGATTCATCGCCGACATTCCCCCTTGCTGCTGCTTGTGTGCAAAGGGCTGGGGCGGCAGAAACTCGATTCTCCAACACTCCCCCTCGCACCAGACCCGAAGCACACATACACCCATGCTGATGCTCCTTTCACATCTCCTTAGCATACACTTCATGCTGCTGCCCACGTCTCTTCTCCTCACACTCCTCATTCTCCTCAAACTGCTCCACTGCTTCATGAAGTGTCATGAGGCCTGCTCTTGCCTTGCACATGTTGAATGCATCATGTGGAAGAACCTTGGTCATGAAATCTGCTGCTTGATCGAATGAACGGCAAAAGTTGACGGCGAGAACTCCTTTCTCTAGTTGCTCACGAATGAAGTGGTACTGCACCTCGATGTGTTTTGTACGCCCATGATGAACTGGATTCTTGGAAAGAGCTATGGCTGAAGTGTTGTCCACGTAGAGCGGAGTTGGTTGAGTTTGCGGCTGCCTCAAGTCCTCCAAGAGTCCACGTAACCAGATTGCCTCCCTTGCTCCTTCGGTCATTGCCATGTACTCAGCTTCGGTTGTTGAAAGTGCCACACAACTTTGCTTGCGCGATTGCCAAGAAACAGCGGCACCACACATGAGGAAGATGTAGCCGCCGGTAGACTTGCGTGTGCTCAATTCTCCCGCCCAATCTGCATCGGTAAAGCCTTGGAGGGAGCTTGCATAGGGCTGGCTTGGAAGAGAAGACCATGATTAGAAGTACCTTTGAGATACCGAAGAGCTCGCTTGGCTGCATGCATATGAATAGGTGAAGGGGCACTCATGTGTTGAGCTAGCTTAGATACCGTGAATGCTAAGTCGGGCCTTGTGCATAGGGCTGCATACATGAGACACCCAACCTGACTTTGGTAGAGAGCTAGGTCTTGTGGGGATACCTTAAGTGAATTCTCACCATGATGCTCACTCTCCTCAAGACACAACTCCTTAATACCTATGATATCAAGGCTTCACTCTCTCGCTTCATAAGGCTGATGTGAAGACAAAGGGACAAAGTTGGAAGGAAGTGGGGTAGGTGATGGCTTGCTATCATCAAGACCAAACCTCTCAAGGACCTTTTGGATGTACCTTTGCTGGAATAGGAAGATGGACCGTGACTTCCGATCTCTCACAATGTTCATACCAAGATAATGACTCGGCTCACTAAGATTGGTCATCGTGAATGCACTTGTGAGAATACCTTTCACCTTGTTGAGAAGATCAAGAGAACCTGAGACTAGGAGGAGGTCATCGACATATACCAAGAGCCAAATGTACTCCCCCTCACTCGTGTGCATGAAGTACAGAGCGTTGTCTCTCATGGACCTTGTGAAACCATGCTTGAAAAGTACCTGCTCAAGAGCATGATACCAAACCCGTGGGGACTGTTTGAGACCATAAAGGGACTTTACCAAGCGACACACTCAACCCGTACCGTCATCATAACCTTCGGGTTGTGCCATGTATACCTCTTCTTCCAAGACACCGTAGAGAAATGCGTTCTTGACATCCATTTGATGGATATGGAGACCAAGATATGCGGCTATGGCGAGGAGGACTCGTACCGTGGTGTACTTTGCTACCGCGGCAAAGGTTTCGGTGAAGTCAAGACCTGAAATTTGGGAATAACCTTTTGCCACTAACCTTGCCTTGTACCTATCGAGGCTACCATCACCTTTTACCTTGATCTTGTACACCCATTTGACACCAATTACCTTCTTCCCTGGAGGTGGCTCAACAAGACGCCATGTACATCGCTTCATGAGACTCTCAATCTCTTCTTCCTCGGCTTTCAACCAATGCTCTCTCTCGGGACTTGCCATTGCCTCACGATGACTCAAGGGCTCTCACGGAAGGTGTGATGCTGCCATGCATATTGCCTCTACCTTCTTGTGAATGCAATTCTCACTCTCCTCACATGTGCACCTTGATGACATGTCAACCATGAAAGTGAAGGGCTTTTTTACCTTGCGGACTCGTTTACCTTTACCAAACTCCTCACTTGGCTGAGACACATTAGTGGTAGGCTTCGGTCTCACAGTGTTTGATTGCATTGATCTGGTCATTTGCGGCTGAGACAACGGCTGCGACATCGGCTGCGACAGCGGCACGGCTGCTTGTTCTTCTCCTGGCGTGGAAATATCTTGATTATCGGTGTTGACTTGAGGATTAGGTATGGTGACTCGTGGCGGTGAAGCTGAAACGTTTGTCGGCATAGTTGGTTGTGAAGATGCTCTTGGTGGGGATCTTGAGACTAGAAGCTTGGGAATTGATGATGACGCTGCCTTGTCGAGAGGTGGTGATGGTTGGGGCTGGTTGGTGTTGTTGCTCGATGTTGAAGATGGTGGTAACTGATGACAACCGAATCCGGGACGTGGGGGTGAAGTTGAAAAAGGTCTTGGGTGAAGAAGTGGACTGTTGGAGCTGGTGTTGGTGGTGACTCGCTGAAGTGATCCTCGTGCTATGAGCTGGCTTGACGTTGGAACAAGTGATGAACGTGTGGTATGAGAACAAGGTGTTGCAGTGACGGTTGACTTGTTGCTAGGAAGAGTCATAGATGGTGTTGATGTAGGTACTTGGGGTCTTGTAGCTGTTGATTGCTGCTGCATGGGATGATGATGAGCTTCTGAAGTTGCCTCTGGAGTGATGGCTGGTGCGTCAAATTATAATGTTGTGTAGGCTGTAGTGGGGTAGCCTATATGGGGTACACAATTCTAGGGTTGCATACTTGTATCACTTTCATTCCTTAGTCATTCATTCTCGTTTCTTCCCATGGTATCGAGCAGGTTCCCTAACGGGAACGATTCCTAGGGCCCACCACTACGAAATTCTTTTTTTTCCTGCCCGGAGCGCGCTCCGCTTAGGCCCGAGTCGTGCCTCGTGTGCTTTCCTTACCGTCGCGCCCTCGCTAGGCCCCTCACGGCCCCGTCGCGTCGCCCTTAGCGGCCCGTCGTTGCCTCGTCGCGCTGCCCTAGCAGCCGCGTCGCGCCGCCCTAACGGCCGCGTCGCGCTGCCCTAGCCGCCCTCACGGCCCCCTAGCGGCCTCTTGCGTCCCCGATCCGCCGCCCTTGCGGCCCCTCGCCGCCCTTTCACCAGCGGCCCCGTCGCCGCCCTTGCACGGCCGTGACGCCGCCCTCCCTGCGGCTCTCTCGCCGCCCTCTTCAGCGGCCCGTCGCCGCCCTTCTCAGCGGCCCCGCCGTCTCCTTTCATTGGCCCCGCCACTACCCCTGCAACGGCCTCATCGCCGCCCTTTCAGCGGCCCCGCCGCCTCCTTTAAGCGGCCCCGCCGCCTCCTCTCGGCGGCCCCGCCGCCTCCTCTTGGCGGCCCAGCCGCCTCCTCTCAGCGGCCCCGGACGCCGCCCTCTCAGCGGCCCTTCCGCCGCCTCCTTTGCGGCCCCGCCGAGCCGCCCAGCAGCAGAGCCGCCGAGCCGCCCAGCAGCCGAGCCGCCCAGCCGCTGAGCCGCCCAGCAGCCGAGCCGC